AGAAGTTAAAAATAACAGACTAACTGGCCAGATTACCAGGTGAAAATAAAGGGGGGAAAAAAAGAAAACTAATGCAGCCACCACATCTAAGAATTGGGAAGCTTTAATATATAACATTTTTGCTTTTGGTTTTAGATATGCTTTAGCCTACCACATCAGACCGCACATTTTAAGAAATGCCTATACATTTCAGTTTGCAGTTACCTATGATTTCCTGTAATTTCCCCCAAAAAAATCTCTCTTGAAACCATGGAAACAGAGTTCAGATTGCAAACAGGTTTTTTTCAGTCTCCTCGTTACACTGCTCCTTTCCTGGATTCTCTCAAAAATATGAAGTTGAGGTTGAATTTTAGGGAGCTGCTTAAATGATATATGGCAAATGTCACCATACACAAGGCCATGTGTAGCTGGAACGCATTTATGGTGTGAACTGCTCATATGATATTTAAAAAAGGATTGGAACATGAAGTGTATGCTGGAACTTGTTATATTCATTGTTTATCAGGGCGGTCACAAACGATTATTTTCATAATCAATTAGTTGGGCTATTATTTTTTCGATTAGCTGGAATAAAAAAAATGCCATCTTTTATTTAAAATACACAAATGGAGTGTTACAAAGTGTACTTATGTAAAGCTCCCCTACTGGGTCCCGGCTGCAGCAGTCTGTGTCCACTCTGATCAGAGCTGCAAAGCGGCACAGCAGGGGGGGGGTGTTTGGGGAAGCTCTCAGCACAGATGGGCACTGGCTGCAGGGGTCTGTGTCCGACAGAGCTGATGAAACAACGGCTCCTACTGGTGGAGGAGAGAACTAGGGGATGCACACCAACTAATCGATACTGAGAATAGTTGAAAATTCTCGTTATCGATTATTAGCCATTAATCGATTAGTTGGTTGCAACCCTATTGCTTACTGAGCCGAACTGAGCCTTTTTCCACCAGCACAACATCGGGCTACAGGTTGAGCAGGTTTCCAAGGCCTTTTATTATTACACTGGGGCTGATACTGTGATTAATGTAAAGGATGCACCTTTCACTCAGTACAGACCGATACTAGACAAGAATAAACATAAGGATCTGCAATAAAGTAGGCTTAAAGTGCACTTCCACTATTTCAGTCAAATTTGAGAAACTCTCAATATATGTTTGTTATGTGTTTACATTCAAACAAGATGCCTAAAATGAATTTTAAAAAATATTTCTTACCTTTTTGGCTGTTTCTTTGGAGCAGGATTATACATAGAACTCAATAAGAAAGTTTCAACTGCTTGGAATAGATCACAATATAAAGATATGGGACAGACAGAGGCAGCTTTTTTTTCTTTAAATATGTAAATATACAATGCAGAACCAAAGCCTTGAGAGCTTTAATCCTTTGTTAGCACACATAGCACTCAGTTATATTTTATAACTGATAATGAGATCTGCCAGCACAGTACAGACAGTTTTAATTATGATAAACATAACTTCCTACAGCCCCCTCCTTTACATAACAGAGGGGGAGAGCGAACCAAGATGTTCCATCAAGAAAAAAAGCAATTAAGTTGTAAGCAACATTTTTTTCTTTTTTTTTCCCCTTAATAATAATAATAATATGTGAATGGGAACATCTAACAAACCTAAAGTAGGTGTTATCCCAATTTAACTACAAAAGTGCAAATACATTCTTTGCTCTGTAAGGAGTTGTTGTGGACTTTATTATAAAACTGCAGTGAGGACAAAGCAAGACATTTACATAATAAAACAATAAGTTTGTCTACTGGCTATTTTGGTTTCAGATTTGCATTCCACCGCATTTGGGTTTGTGCACTGTTGGATAACACTATGGTCTGCAATGGCTTTTAGGAACACTCACACAGAAACCTGTGTCCAGTTAGGCCAAACGGATTTGGGTCATTAGCTTTCCTAGCAAACACTGCATCTAAAAACAACACGTAGACACATTATTCAATTATTTCTCATTAACAAGAGGAACATTTTCTCCTTCAAAAAAAACTGAATAGCAACACTATAAAAACAGTTTGGCTTATGTAAAGGTGCAGGGTCAAAGGACTGACCGTAGCCAGACTAAGGTTATGGTACATAAATACTAAGGGGCATATAGTTCCTGTAAATAAAGGCAGTAAAAAACAACTGCATGCTCATCACCCAACATTCAAAAATCATATGGTTTAATGCCCATTTAGCACTTTCCCTTTGGGCCAGTAGACATTTTTGCTTTAAGTGACTGGTTGACACCATCCATCAGCTAAACCTGATGCTGCAGAAAATAGGATAGGGGTAAAGTTCACTAACTGCTACATGGAATGTACACATTTAATGCTAGTCAGGATTTTTTAGCATCTTGGAAGCCCAGAAATTTAGCACATCATAATTTTAGTGATGACAGCTCGCTAAATTTCATATTTTACATTTTTTAGAGTCTACTACTAGAACAAGATGAAAATATTGTTTGCAAGCACTTAATATCTCAGTGCAACCCAGTTCCCAGGGGATTTAGTGCACGATGAGGAGCTGTGAAGCAGTAAACACTGCCAGGCAGTTCTGGAGACTGTAAATACTTTACTGGTTTTCATGAGTCTCTGATGAGATAAACTTAAAGGCAAATTATAGTGTATTTTCAGTCATTGTGTTATTATTGTGTTTATTTTTTACACATGTACGGTTTCATATTTTTGTCAGAGTATTTCATATGCTGTTCTACGGCTTCAAGTGGACTCTCCACTCATTACATCAGGCTTCCCACGTGCAAAAGCATTGGGGGGGAATTTTTCCAACTTTTATACTACATATAGTAATTTTTTTTACTGCTCTAATTTTACATTAGAAATGGGGGCCTGACGTAACAAGCAGATTGGCATTTTGGCAAGGTCCACTTTAACGACCTTCCGAGATAAAATATCAACCACCAATGAAATGGTGTTGTCTGTTTTGAAAGGGTTGGCAGGCACACAAGCTTGCACTGTAAAGCACAACCACTGTATATTATTTCTCCCACTTGCCCTATAGCTCAAAAATAAACAAACAATATATTTGTAAAGCACTGTGCAAACTGTTGGTGCTACTGAATATAAATTCAGTATAATAATAGTAATAATAACAATATTAACAACAATAAGGGATGTGGGAAAGGGAATACATTGGAACGGAAGCAGCGGAAGAATGTGTAAATGTAGTGGTAAAACAATTACGGTTTCATTCAAGGCTATTTTATTAACACACATTTGAAGAGTCTTCTATCCACATTACTTTGCACTGTTGTACGAAGTGGAAGAGGAATTTGTGAGCTTGTTACCTGGCTTGAAAGCTATTTCCTACAAGATATTTGCAGTCAGTTCGACAAATACAAGAACTGTATACTGCAAAGAAAATCAATAGCATCTGCCATAGAAATCTTCTGGCACAGTGGAAAATTCCTGGCACTCAACAGGAACCATTCAGAAAAATTGCTTTGGAAGGAAAACTGTTTCGGATTCGGGAGTATCAGTTGTCACTAACAGAGTTTGACAATTGCCGAAAGAGAATCCCATATATTCTGTACAACAGATAGAAGGTCTGCCTGGGTACAGCCAATTTGAGGGGTAGAGAGAAAAAGACAAATATTTCAGGGCACCCATAGCAGGCAGATCTCCCTATCATAAATATATCTAGCTATCAAAACTCACATCTCTGACTGAGGGAACCTGCGCTAGCCACTTCTCCCCGTGCTGCCAGAAAATGAAAAATGCACCCATGTCCAGAGAACAAACCTTTGAAAACTACTGCATGCAAGAACAAGAACTTCTGAGTGTCAAATATGCTCATTAACCTAGAGGGGGGTTAGGCATTGCTGCACTGTTATCACCTGTATAGGCCAACTGTCACAGTAGATACTCATATCTTTCTCATCATTGATAGTTATTGAGACAAGCATGTGCACCCTAAGACAAAGCAGTGTTTATACAACAATGCATGGTTCACTGATCACCAGCTGAGAACCACTGTGCTCAATTACTGCTCCATCACTGGGTCACAGCTGCTACTTGCCTGCTTTGGGCAACAGGCATGCATGACCTGCATTATCCATCTGCTCTGCTGCATACATTTTTTTTTAAACACAAACCTAGATCAATTCTCTGAAACAGGAAGAACCTTCACACTGATATATCTTCATGGAAAAAGTCCTGCAAAATCTAATAACACATAAACCATAAGAATCACTGTTTACCTGTGTCTGCACTATACTGTTTGGCAGAACATTTTGTAATATGAGATATTTCAGTGGACTATAATTCAGAACGGTTTAAAAAAAAAAAATTTGCACGAGAAAACTAGCTATTGCAGACCGTGTGATCTAAACAAAATGGAGTCAACTCCTAGGTTAGCTTGCTATCAGTACTATAAATGCTAAGATAAATTCAGCAGTTAGTTCTCTGATTGATTAAGAGTAGGACTGTATGGCACAGACTCAACTGGCTGTAAATGTGCAGCTTCCACAGATAAATGCATATGTATGCAACCAAGAACGCTACTTTTAAGTTAAAAACAGATCATCTTTGTTGACTTGTAGGGTGAGTGCTGAGGACTGTTTTTATGTACTGTGCAATTGGTTAATGCCCCTCCCACTGAACACCACCCAGGCAAGTTGCAAATTGGTAGAGGACCTGGCACATTTCTGTTTATTGTATATGCATATGAAAAGTCTTTTGCAGTGTTTGTCAGATCTGAGATTTTTTACACACATGGCCCATAGGGTCACCTTGACTTCGGACACTTCATGATTAACTAAAACTTTTAAACGTCAAGTAGCAGCAACCATGAAAGTTGATCTAATCAGCATTTGAAATAGCTTAAAAAACGTTTTGACTATATAGTATGACAACATTTGTATGAATAATGCCCCAATCAGGCTCTCTGGTCCATGCTCATTATGCTTGGTTGGAATAGACTTTTATGAGGGTAAAATGGAAACATTTGCCTTGAATAAAGAAAATCTATGAAAACAAATATTAGTAATCTTACCTTAATGTTACCATTTACATCAAGAAGAATGTTCTCCAGTTTAAGATCCCTATGCACAACACCATTCTGGAAAAAAAATATATGTAGAAGTGAAACATAATATACTTTTAATCACACATATAATTAATTGGATTCCCATTCTACGCCATTACCAACCATCTATTAGTCATATGCTATGTGGTTAAGACAAGAATGACTGGAATCTATCCTCCTGTAAAGTATTTGAAAAAACAGGAGATGCCTTTGGTACGTCTCAACTCCCTTTCTCAGTGTAATGTGTTGGAGTAATATTATCTGCTGCTTATTGCCAAGCTCGAAGTGTGAATCTTATTCCATTTGGGTGTCTCACTGACTTGCAGTAAACATTTCAGAAAGATATGCTTTGATTACGGAGGCAAAATGTGTTATTACTTTGTGTTAAGCTTATCAAAGCTTTGCAAGGCTGTGAGAGTCATAGGCCTGAGAAGAGTGTTCTGCAGTGTTTAATCTATAAGCAAGACAGTATGAAGGATCTTTTATAAAAGAATAGTGGAAAAAGAGTGACACAGGCAGTATTGTGCGATAAAACAAACCATTAACACATAAGATTACAGTAAGTAATAAGAAGAGGTATTAGCAAAAGCTCATTGTCGCCATTTACCTTTGTAAGTAATGTGTTTAGGACAAACTTAGATATAACGCTATCATGGCAATTTAGTAACAAATTCCATTCCAAATATATGGATTCTTAGACTAAGATGGACTTTGTGATTTGATATTTTGTCCTTTTTCAATGTTGATTTTTCTTAACTGGCTGAGAAGTAGTGAGTGTATTAAAACTGAACTCCAGGCAAACAGCTGTATTTACATATAAAGCTGCTTTACCTGTTAAAGGTTTTTGTATTTCTGTCCATCCAAGTCATGAGATTTACAGAGCTCTGTGTAGTAGGGGAGGGGAACCGACCTTTATCTACTGAAGTTCACTTTGACTTAGCCTCCATTCATACCTCTGTGATGTGACATTGCTGAGGTGCTGCAGAGTGCATTGTGGGGGTTCATTTGAATGGGCTACCGACCACGGCTAAATCATAATGCACCCTGTTTTTGTTTTATAAAATTGCATCACACCACATTGCATAGTAATAGGTTACCATGCAATGTTCTGTCTATATAATGCACATGCAATGGTTAGGTGTGTTGGGGTGCCATCAAGATATAATGGTAGTGAACCTAACATTGCCACATGTGATGCAAGATCACGTATGGCATCGCATGTACTCCCACATCGCAAAGGTGGAAACGAAGCCTTAAAGTTACATTTCCCACCACCATTGTGTTACTGGACAGGGAGAAGAGAAGCAGCACACTAAATCCTATCTTTATGTCAAGCTGTTCTCTCCTCCTATCAGCATTGTCCTTGCACTGCAACATACCAAATTGGCTGCTTGTGCCGCTTTCCCTCCCTCTCTCTGAGCTCTGCCGTACTGGAACTGCAAGAGCTTTAAGAGTTTGCATGGCCAAGCTATCTGTGTGAGGATAAAGGAAGATTGCCAAGTGGTTGTTTTTACGTGCATGCACATCTAACTGCCATCTAATGTTTACAATCAGTTTTACGTAATACTGTAATATGGAGACAACACCTAGAAGGATCAGTTTGCAGAAAAAGAGATGTTTCAGTCAAATATTTTATTTACCTGGCTTTGTTATTCATCTGGCTTTGTTTCTATCTACTCTCCTATAACAGAGAAAGAAGGCCCTATTGTAATGGCAGATATATGTACTGTATATGGTTCATTCACAGCAGCCTGCATGTGCTTTTTAACTATAAAAAATGTACAAAAACCACCCTACTTCATTAAACTCTATGCACCATCCTATGTGTGGAGCTTCATAAAAATTTAGATATGCAGCATTTTGAAGCAGTGCACACCAATGCACATGCATGGTGTGTACAGGGCAGAATAATTGTTTTAATGTGCCCTGGTGTTCAGCATGCATTGATCAATGCAGATCAGTGCATCTCAATCCACCTGGTGTGATCTCACACACAAGATATATACGCAACTGTCAGCATCACCATCTACAAAAAAAAAAATCTAAAAAAGGTCAGTTTTAATTTGATCCCTTTTAAAATGATCCCTTAAATTCTTTTTAAATAGCATACCACAAAAAAGTCTATAACTGCACATATATATTCTAATGTTGCCATTGCTTATTTACAGTGGCATGAAATATGTTTCTACATAGGCAGTTATCTCAGTTCTTTATGACTGCATAACACCCTTTTTTTTTTCTCACGACCCTACTACAGTTCCTTAAAGGTCAGCAGGATCTGAGGCTTCTTATCTGTGCAAATATTTGCTCCGTGAAAGCTTCCATGAATTTTGTGTGTGTGTATATGATATTTTAAATGTTTGCACTGCCTGGCGGAGCACTAAAAATATACTCGGTCTACTTGTGTGCAGCAGATTCGGTCTTGCTCAATTTGCTTGATGGAAACAGAGAAGATGTATTATGAAAAGTCTTTGCACTGTCACAGTGGTGTGCATCAAACAATGCTCTACTGACCACCTTGGCAGGAGGGCTGAAACCAAAGAGAAACTAATACAATGTACATGTGCAGCAATATGATATGTGTCATATAGCTGCATAACTTCATGCTCAAGGATTTAGGTTAAATCACCATTAAGAGCAATGCCGATTTCCATCCAAACCGCCATGCCTGCAGCAAGAGAACAGACGCACAATTTTACAGCATGTACTCTGCTCACCTTATGGCAGTAGTGTACTGCGGAGACAATCTGACGAAAGAAGTGTCTTGTTTCCCTTTCACTCAGTCTTCTCCTCTCACTGATGTAATCATACAGTTCACCTTTGCTGGCATATTCCATGATAATCACAATCTTATCTTTATTTTCAAATACTAAAAGAAAGATACACCAAAGAATTATATCATTTACATGCCCCGGCAGCTCACAAACATGTAAAAGAGAAAGAATATAGGAATGTATCTGTAACAAAATGTACTTTATACTTATTGCATCTAAACCCAAACGTATGTTGCTGCAAATGTTCATGTAATGTCAAAAAAAGTTTATTCCTTTTTTACATGTTCTGTTTCTAATTAAATTTTAATAGCAAAGCGTATCCCTAGACATCTTCTGTGGTAGGGTGCCCACTCTTATTAAGCTCAGCTGTACAGATGTCCCTTCCCTGCATACTCCACAAGTGAACTGCAAAAATTATTTTCTAGTCATGTTCAGCAGAAGCTGAAGAGCTTACAGGATGTGCAAATTGCAGGGACAAAAGGCATAACAAAGTAAGGATGTGGGGGTGTACTGATACAGTCTCTAGAATGGCTACACTACCCACCCTCCTGTCAAGTATGCCCGAGATTATAATACCCCTTCTCCGTCTCTATGTACTGCCACAGGATCCTTCTCACTACTATCATATATAACTTCTATATGTTCACCCACCTGAACTCTTGTATTTTTAGTTTTACCAATATGTTTTAACCTGCATGTGCAGATTAATTGATATACCACATGGTAGAAGAACAAGTAAGTGATAACACTTGTGACCTAACTGTTGGGACCCATCAAAATTCGTGAAAGGTCCCCCGATCTCCACAATCCTGCAGATTGGACATGCACCACATCTAAACATAACTTCTAATATTTACTGATGGTTGAAACATGATTTTTACCAACAATTCACAGCCACCTTCCTCCCCCTAGAGGACGTTGGACCTACAATTCTTTCCAGTAATTAAACATGCCAATGGTTTTGTAAAATGTATTTCATTTCATTCCTTTGTGAACTGAGAGGGGGTGATGATTCTACATTTCTCCTCCTTACTGTTCATATTGCTTTTCTTTCAGCAACTCGCCCAGTTTCACCATACCGGCTCACTTAAACCCTTCTTGAATCTTCCTTTGTGAGTAACCACACTGTTTAAACATTTTAGAGACATCCTATGTCTCCTCAAAGAAATCCTCCATTCTAGAGCAAGTCCTTTGATGGCAAATAAACTGCTCAGTGGGGATCACATCTTTCTGGCTCTGTTGATGATTGCGGCATGGAGGAGGTTGTTCCCAGTTGTCAGTTTCCTGAACGTTTTAGATAACAATTTACCAAATCAAGTAACTGAATTTGCTCCTGACTCCAACTGAAAGTTAGAAAAATTTTACTTTCATTCATGTTCAGTTCTCCAACAAATTATTTTAGCTGGACCACTTCCCCCCTCAAAGCAAACACATATCCATGTACCATAACTAGAGGAAAGCATGTGCATCACTGTTTGCTACCAGCCAACTAAATGTGTACATGCTGCCCCATCACTATGCCCTACTATTGATGCTAAAACTTACCAGCATATGCGAAAAAGTTATTATTCAAAATAAATTCCATTAACCCTTTCGCTGCCAAGGACGTACGTCGTACGGAGCTACAAAAGTGCTTCCAGCTGGCCAGCTCAGTACGCCGTACGGACCTGGCATTTAGCGACCATCAGCTTATAGTAGAACTGTTCAGCAGACTGTCCCCTTTAAATTAAATAAACAAGCTGCTGATGACC